TCCTTCTGTTTAAACAGTCTCTTTAACCGCTCGTCTTTGTGTCTGTGTGACCTCCTCCTCCCATTAGCACCTTCTTTTTCTGTGGAAAAGAGGGTGAGGGAGGGAGGTGAGGAGGAAAAGAAAGGAAAATCAGACAGAGATATGACATAAAGATAGATAAGGTAAGGAGTTGATTGTTAACCCTGAGAAGTGTAGAGCTTTATTGTCATTTGACTATACATCTCATTTATAGTAGTTCATTATTTAATTATATTATTCAGTTTCTGACAGTTTCAAAACTTTTTTTGGTTCTGTGTCAACAGATGAATGTTTTTGATAAAACATCTCATCTACGTACAAACGTTAGCGTGGTGTAGATTGGAAGATTAGAATCTGCAACTTCTCCACTGATTTCAGTGAGCCTTGAGAAATAATACATATTGAATTACAACATGCTATCACAACTTTTTGTTATCACAACTTCTATGGCAACTTATAGGGAGTAAAGGGAAATTCCACTAATTTGTTCAAAATTTCATTGTAATTCAATTGTTTAGATGGGAACCAAGTCATTCAGGGTGGTTTCTAGAGAAACTCATCAATTCAGATTTGTTCAAAATGGTGTTGATAGGAGTGTCTGAAAGTTTACTGCCTCTCAAAGCTCCCTAATGCTTATGAATATGTGGTGTATACTGGTGTATACTGTGTGTATATATATATATATATATATGCGCACACACACATACACAATATACACATTAGTATACACCAGACAGATAAATATATATAATCCAGATTATACAAGATATTGATAAAAGATGTACAGGATGTCGATCTAAATGTACAGGTATATATTTGCTAGATAGAAGTTACAGTATGATCAGAGTGAGTTTGTTTGAGGTGTGGATGCGGTGTGGAAGGATGATGATGATGATCAACATTCCATATAAAATCTCAGAAGACACGTGTAGGTTCACTGGTGGTTTTGGATAGTAAATAAAATGCCTATATTAGTTTTGTAGTCATGGCAACCCCTGGTTCCTATCACCACCCCTGTAAAGAGATCTGAGTCCCTACAATCACCAAATTGACACCAAACCACTCTGAATGACTCTCTACAGTCTTATTTTGCAACAATTTCGGAAAAACAAATTTCCACCTTAAATAACTGAAAGGAAGACCAGTTTCTTATTACATGGTTCAATGTTTAAATCGGTAGTGTTGAGGCTACATTAAGGAATTAGAAGGCAATGATGGAGCTTAAAGAAGATCACATTATGTATAGCTGAGAGAAGGAGAAATAGAATGAAGAGAGAGACAGAGAGAGAGAGAGACAGAGAGAGAGAGAGAGAGAGAAGGGAAAACAGACAGAGGGTCTTTGGCATCTCCAATGATCCAACTCAATATGGAGCCACATATGAGTCTTCATGGTTCATGTTTAAACACACATGCACAGAAGCCGCTGTGAAAAAGAATTGCCACCAATTCAACATATTATTGGCACCAGCTTGCCTGTATAACTGCTCTAGTTGATCTACATTTGTATGACAAAGAGAGAGTGCTTATGATGCTGTATAACAGAGCTTAACATATACTGCTTAAACTTTGTTTTTATGCACCAAACACAGTCGTAATTTCATTTTTTTTCACATGACCATTTTATAACCTCTCTTTATCCCTTAGAAATAAACAGGCTGTTGTTTGTTGCTGTGCCTTCAACACTGATGTATGTGAATGAGCTCTGTTCTGATTGGATGCCCTTGTAGTGTACACTGTTCACAAAGCAGTCCATGCTGAAACATTCTTTATAACTTCAGCATGAATGGGCGGAGTTAAGGTGCTGTGGGCTGAATAGTCGGATATATGTAAATGAGTCCGTTCTTGTGGCATCATGAAGTAAGGGAATTCAAAACGGGCTGTTTGTGCAGTTTAGTTTTCATGCATAAAAACTGGGGAGAGAATGTTACATTTAAAGAACAGCATAATACTCTTGGAGGAGAACACTTACTGTTTTATTACATCAGCTAATGCCTGTCCCACACTGCAGGATAATTGAGCCAATTTTGAAGCTGATTTGCTCTTCCCGGCAGTCGCAAAAGTTGTCCCAATATGAGTGTGATCTTAAACAATGATCTTTCCAGATCCTGTGGTGTGTCTTTACATCTCCAATCTACTGCCCAGTCCATTCAGAGCTTCCCTGATTGTGAATTGTGAATATTAAGCCCTTAAATGGCCAGGGCACACTGGTGGGCCCAGAGGTTTATTACACACTTCTATATCCTAAGAATAGCTCGGTCAGTTTGTATTGATGTCCCTATGGATACTGAATAATAAGTCTTAGTATGTAATCAACCTGGAATTTTAAAGAGTTAAACAAAAGCCATCCTAACCATCCAGAGAGAGTGAGGCCAATTGTGCTCTCTTGGACTCGAATGGCTGTAGCATCACTGAGGATCAAATTCCTGATGATGGGGCCAACGCACAATTGCGCCACTTGGGAGCATATTTATTATCTGTGTCCTGTAGTGTGGGGTGGACACTAATTCTCTGGAGTGAAATGCAATGTTGACTTCATTCTTCAACGACCATCTGTAAGGGCCGCCAGCAGAGGGTGACGGCGGTGAGGTGCCATAAGTTCAGGGAACTACAATTCTCAGAAGCCCTCGGGCTGATTAGGTCCAACCTGGCACACTTGAGGGCTCCTCTACTTAAGGCTATGGCAAACAGCAACGCTTTGTCACACCTTTGTAGAGGGGTGACCGGTACGGTACTTAGCCCAGGTGGGTATTTAAACAAAAAGAAAAGGAAAGGAAAAAGAAACGAAAAGGAAAGGAAAGAGAGCTGGAAAAAACAAAAGAGAGAAATTGCCCCAAAACTACTTAAAAACCAAAAGAAGTCTTGAGCTACAAACGGCTCCAAGCCATATAAAATGTGTTTGCTCCACAAAGAGCAAACAGGTGAAACATAAAGTCTGCTTTCCTCTCATAATCACAGAGGAAGTAATTTTTGTTTTCTCATTATCTTTTATTTCACTTTTCTATTTCAGCCTTTGTTTGAGCATGGCTGCTTTCAGCATCCCCTTTGTTTGCCTTTTTCCCGCCTTTTTTTTTATTTCCCATTCGTTGAGGTATTTTTCCTGTTTTTGCCTGTGCTTCCTGGCGGCACAGCGGTAACTCCTTGGACCGCCGATCAGTACATCGGTGGTTTTAGCCTTGCTCTGAGCCACCTCAAATCCAACGTGCACAATCACCAAATTCACACTCCATCACCTCAATAAATGAGTTAAATGTAGCTTGTTAGTATTTACAGAAGAAGCATGGTGGCTAGATGACCCCTTCTTTTCAGCCATGGCTTCATCCACATTTTTTTCTATTGCTTGACTTTTTCTGTGCAGAAAGCACTACCAGCATAGATGTAGTCCCGCTGTCACTCACTGTGTTTGTTTAGATCTAAAGTCACATTATTTTGCGAGACATCCTGCAATGTAGCACTACGTGAAAATGTAAAAATACAGACTGAACTCTACTCATAGTTACTTTTAAAACCAAACAAAAATGAATTCTCTTTTTTTGGTGACAAAACTGCATATCAAAAATGTTGGGTCGTGAGTTGGATCCCCTGTGATGTCACAACCATATATAGCCAACACAGCACAATAGGCCTCCATCTCTCTAAGTGAATGAGATGCTGCTCTCTCTCCTCCCATCACTCAGCAAATTGGTAGCCAATGTAGGCATGTTTATGTCAATTATTATTAATAATAACAAATTATTTTCTGAAGAATTGTGTATTTTGTCATATTTTATGTTGGCTGCCATTTTATACAAGCAATAAACCACTTGAGGCTGTGCGTTAAAGTGATTTTATCACAGTTAAGGGATAAAATCACAGTAACACACAGCCTCTTGTGGTTTATTGCTTTAATATACTTACTCGCAAATACAAGCAAACCATTGCGTTTTATTGAATTGTTAGTCTGTATATTTTCTCTGTCGTCCTGCGATGAAATGTAACAAATAATGATGCCAGAATTCAAATACTATCACCTCAAATGGTTAACCGACCGCTCAAGCACATCCCTATTATTAATACATAACTGCAAATGATTGTTGGTGTTTGGTAATGTAGAAATGTGGCAGTAATAAGCATTCCCTCCCCTCCCTTCTCATTTGGTGTAAGTATGCATGATCGATGTCTGCAATAGAACTGTGTCACTGTGTGCCCCCTGAGGCCCACCGGCTCACATGGAAACCATGACTCTAACAGAGTTATCTCACATCGCATGTGTTTGAGTAAGTTTAGATGTATAAAGGACCCATATCTTACATTTTTTGTATGTTAAGGTCTACTTATGACCCTTATGTGGGTTTATCTGCTAAAAACAGTCATAATTTATTACAATTTTCTTTTTCTCTTCTAATTAAGCAGGCTGCTTTTGTTACTGTGCCTTTAAGGCTAATATATGACCTGTAAACAAGCTCTGCTCTGATTGGCTGTCCTGTATTGTGCTCCATTTAATTAGCACTCCAGGTTGAAACACTCCTTTTAACTTCAGTGTGAATGGGCGGGGCTAACTCGCTTTAGATTGAATAGGATATATGTAAATATTGTGTTTTCTCATGAAAGCACAAAAACTGTGTGTGTATATGTGTGTGTATATAATATATATATATTACTGTTTTTAACATATATATATATATATATATATATATATATATATATATATATATATATATAGCTGTATATACTTAGGAGAACGCAATATGATATGAAATTTTACCAGTATACACACAGGAGGGCCGGTGTCCAGCACAGTTTGGGGATGTACCTGTTGCAACACACCTGATTACACTAATCTGTTAGTTGCCAGGTTAAGTGGATGTGTTTGAGTAGGGAAACCTCCAAACTGTGCTGGACACAGGCCCTCCAGGACCGGTGTTGTGCACCCCTGGTATACAAATACATACTGTTTTATTCCAAAAAAAATGTTTTATTGTTTTATTCTCTGTCTGTCTACATAGAAACAAAAGCGGAACTGGAAGAGCTGATGACGGACATCAAGAAGCTGGCCAACAAAGTGCGCTCCAAATTAAAGAGTGAGTACTTTCGCTTTAGATGTAAGCAATGAAAACACCTGCTAAGTGGAAGATATAAAAGCAACTAGAGCTGTCACTAGCAGTTATATTAGTAATTGAGCAATTGTTTTGACATTTCTTCAAATAATCAGTTTTTTAAAAGGCCGAACAATAAAAATAAACTTAGCTGAACTTTAAAAACATGCACAACTTTCAAACATGACAAAATACTTTATTGGAAAAAGATGAATGGGAAGCTGGCTCTGTTTATATTGTAAGAGCAGAAGGAAAAAATTGAATATGTGTCATCATCAATACAGATATTACAGTTTGGTTTTCACAGTTTGATAACCAAGTCAAAAAATGTCACAGTTCATGCTACCATATATTAAATGATCATTTAATAACAAAATAGAGAATTTATAGAAAAAAATGATTACAAATTTCCTCCTCAGTGAGTTTAAGATATTACACTGGCATTATCTGTGAATGTTTGAGTTGCTCTTATAAATAAATAATAGTCTCAGTTACCTAATGCTTTGGTTCATTTCAGGGATGTACAACAACAGAATCATACCAGCAGATATTTGCTTACAAAAATGATCAACACTGGACAGATTTTACTAATATTCCAAACTAATATGTGATTATGCATTTATTGTCTGCATTTAATTCATTTTACTGCATGTGTTCCTCAACAAATGAATGTTATAATTCTTTATATTGCTAATCTAGTAATCTCAGTTTCTATGTTTGTGATGTAAGTGTTTATTTATCAGTACATGAAAAATCTCAGCCCACAATTCCCATATCAGTGCATCATATTTAATTCTGGGGAGTTGAGAACCTTTTCAAAGCCTACCAGAAAAATACTGCATAGCAGGCAGTATCTTTTAAACGTTTCTGGAAAAAAAAACGGTGCGGTGAACATTAGATCAAAAATCATTGCTGATTCATCAAGAAGTTAAATTTTATTCAGATATTTGTTCAAAATGCTGAGCCACAGACAGGATGCACATAGTTGTGTGTTTAACGGGTAAGTTGTGATGTTAGGCATCATGCAGAGCCAATTAAGCATTACCTGTGGTAAAATCAGTGTAATGCACACCTTCAAAGGCTTATTGCTTTTATAAAATGATGGACAACATAACTTATTAAAGCATACAAATTTTCAACAAAATATTTAGCTGTAGCCAAATTGATAATAATCACAATAATCAACCATCAACATGAAACAGGAAAGAAATTTCAGTCGCCCATCACTGTATGTTGCAGTCATTTCTTGAACTTTGGTAATATTATCAGGAACGTAGTCATATCATATAATCATAATATAGCAGTGTTTCACTTAGAAATCTTCACTTTCTAAGTATGGTAATGCTAATTTCCACTAGTGCCTCAATGTAGTTTCCTGTGTAATTTTAGCATCAAGCTAATAATGTCTGCCATTTACTGGGTTTAATGCTTCTTACAGCAGATCTTATCGGACTTATGCGGACACAGAATATGATTAAAGTTCTTTTACAGTGAATCATTTGGTAAATACTTCAGTTGAAACACTGAATATAAGTGGAGAAGCAGTTTAGCCTGTTAGCTGTCTTTTAGCCTGTTTAGCCTGCTATCTTTTATCAAGTTAAGCCTGCTATCTTTTAGCCTGATTGTTAAGAAAATAGCTTGTCGGTACCTCAGTTTAACCAAATTGGGTTCTTCATCTTCATTTGCTGGTCTGTTCACAATAACAATCTATTCACATCACAGTGGTTTTTGGTGAGTTGGAAAATATTTGTGCAGATTTGCTTTTATCAGTATTTCTACAGCTGACTCAGCCAATCACATGTTAGGACCAGAACTATTCATTTTATAATAATCGATTAATCGTGACAGTTCTAAAGGCATCTGATTGCTTAGCAATGTCAGGATGTGGCTTGATGTCTTGGAAACACAGCTGGGCCAGCTGTAAACACATATGCTTCTTTAAAGTCTCAGGAAACACAGAGTAAAACATTGAAAATGCTTGTATGACACCCAACAAAGCTTCAATGAAAAATATGATATAAATATGATCAAACACAGCTTAAAAGCCACAGCCCTTTCGGAGAACAGAGTGGGTGTGGCTAATGAGCTGCTTGATTGACAGCTCTCTGTTAAACACTCCTAGCCTGCTCTGCCCCTCAGACAGAACTAAAATCATCCAGCTTTTATGTGATGCTGACTAAACTAAAGAAAAAGTCACGAACGAACAGACGTGCAGATGGACAGATGAACAAACAAACAAACGAGCAGACAAAGCAAAACGTAAATGAAGGAATGGACCAGAACAGACGTAAGACAGCTACAGACAGGGGGTCTAGTTTTATAGCTTTTGGTTATGCTGGGTTAGCTTTAGCTTACTACCTTTCTCTGACTCTGAAACTGTTTTGTGTGGGTGGGGCAAAAGACGTCAGTCCTGTGATTGGTCAGGGGAATGCTTAAGGACGTAGTACCCAAGATTAGGACTGTCCAGTGTACATCAGCTGCATTCCAAAGCCTATTCTGCAGCTGAAGTAGGCTACAGTTCTTAGCCGTTACGTCATAGCAGGCTATTCCAAAGTGAAGTACCCTTCGTATGCAGCCTATGTTCTGAGTGGTTTCAAGGACGCATCAGATGTATCCTTCCAGGCCTTCGATTACCCACAATTCTCTGCGCACAAACAACATGAAGGAGGAAAAAAAAAACATCACCACGAAAATGGTGGAAAACGAAGCCATTGGAGCAGAGTTTGTTTTAAAATGTAAGTTGTTTGCATCCTTCGTTAAATTATAAAGTGTAAAATGACTGATTAATTAAGCATTCGTCCATATATCGTATATCGTCCATATATATTTTATTTAGAAGTATTTCTGTATATGTAGTTTATCGTACTACATAAGAACGTCTCCTCCATTTCCATGAAGAAATGAAAAAACACAATAAAAAAGGGCTTCCATTTTCTCTCACCAGTTTCTCACGAGTTCACGCTCTGGTGACGTCACCACGCAGCCTCGTTAGGTCATACGTTGTAATCTTTTTTCTTCTCCAATGGAGCTGCATCAGCGTATCAGTGTGTAGATGAATCTACAGTCTAATGCATCTGAAATGAAAAGTTGAATGCTGTGTCCTGATACATAGGCTCTGGAACTATAACGGCAAATCTGCTTCATCCTTGCACTGAATCTGAGATCTCTCCCTCTCTCTGTCTCTCTCTCTCTCTCTCTCTCTCTCTCTCTCTCTCTCTCTGTCTCTCCCTCTCCCTCTCTCTCTCTCCTTGATGAGCACAATCAAACGCTTCCTAGCTGCTATTGATCGAGGTCCCTGCTCCTATTGTCACTTGGATATTTGCTTAACTAACAAGTGATGAATAGCCCTGGGTAGGGTGGGTGTAACGAGGGGGGGGCAGTGCTTCACAATCGATGGGCTCCATATGCGGCAGCTGTGGTGTGGTTTGTCACATGGCTGGCTAATGAAAGAGCAGCAGTGGGTGGGGGACAGAGGAAAGGCCACCGGGGGCAGTGGATTAGAGCTGGCAGGTAGAACACAGCTTTGTTTTACAGTACAGCCTTTTCCCATTCTAACTGACTTAGTCTATTAGTGCAGTCCCACAGAAACAGGATGTGAGGCACACAAACACAGGCACAGGCTGTGATGTGCACCCTGCGGTACTCGTTCTTATTGTGTTCTCATCAGTTGCCTTTTGTAGGAGGTCTTAAGATGTGTGTGTGTGTGTGTGTGTGTGTGTGTGTATTAGGGCTTAATTAATCTGGGTTGACTGATCAGATCAGCTGATAATAAGGTTCTACGGATTGTTCGATTAAAGCATGATTGATCTTTCTTTCTAGCTATCAGCACTGGCTCTTGTTTTTGGCAGTGTCTGAGCTCAAGGGTAGTTTGGAATCAAATTTATTTATACTGGGATATATTCTCTGGATGAAACATCACTCTGGATAAGAGTGAAATGGTTCATTGTAGGGTCTCATATTTCTTTACAGGGGTGGTGATAGGAACCAGGGGTCACCATGACTACAACACTAATATAGCCATTTATTTACTATCCCAAAATACGTTTTCGTAGTGTTGATTCTCAACACCCTGCATGTACCTCTCCACCATACACCGATCAGCCATAACATTATGACCACCTCCTTGTTTCTGTGCTCATTGTCCATTTTATCAGCTCCACTTACTATATAGGTGCACTTTGTAGTTCTACAATTACAGACTGTAGTCCATCTGTTTCTCTGCATACTTTGTTAGCCCCCTTTTACCCTGTTCTTAAGTGGTCAGGACCCCCATGGACCCTCACAGAGCAGGTACTATTTGGGTGGTGGATCATTCTCAGCACTGCAGTAACACTGATTTGGTGGTGGTGTGTTAGTGTCACTGCTGGACTGAGAATAGTCCACCACCCAAATAGTGCCTGCTCTGTAAGGGTCCATGGGGGTCCTGACCACTGAAGAACAGGGTAAAAGGGGGCTAACAAAGTATGCAGAGAAACAGATGGACTACAGTCTGTAATTGTAGAACTACAAAGTGCACCTATATAGTAAGTGGAGCTGATAAAATGGACAATGAGCGTAGAAAAAAGGAGGTGGTCATGAAGTTATGCCTGATTGGTGTAGATTTAAAGGATTGAACACAGTAGATTTAGAAAATGGATGTTTTAGACTGAAACCTTCTCAAAACTATTATAAAACAATGTCTCAAGCATCAGACAGCGTATTCATAATCATTTCATATAATAGCTTTCTGTGAGGGAGATTTTAAATGCATTAAACTCTAGATGTCTGGTTCCTATCACCACCACTGTGAACAATTCTGTCCTAGTAAGTTTCTCTACAATGGAGCATTTCACAGCAAACCACTCTGAATGACTTTATTTACATCTTAAAGAACTGATTATTCAAAAAATGTGAAAAATCAATATAATTTCTCTTTACGATTGTATTAGTGACAGAATTTATATATCGGTCGGGCTCTGGTGTGTGCGTGTGCACAAGCACAGCTGGTCTCAGTTCTTTTGTAAACTGATGGCAAAGAGATGTAACTGAGTCACCTCTTTTCAGATTCTCCCCTTTTCTCTCCCTCTTTTGCTTTTGTATGAATGCAGTGACGGACGTTGCGGAGCTCTCGTCTCTCTTTACTTGATGAAAACTCAAAGTATTTGCCACCAGTGGTCTTTGTGCTCTTGACTGGATCTCTTTTCTTTCTGCTGTCACTTCACTTCCGTGTCAGCTGTCACTGCCGGAAACTTTCTCCACGGCAACAAACCAAGCTCAAATGTTTGCCAGTGAGGTCAGCTGATCACCCACATAGAGCAGACCAAACTGATGAATATCACCCTAAGTGCAACAGCAGGCCTAGTTATAACAGCAGTCACCATTATTGATGGCAGTGAGAGCATTTAATGCACATTCTGCAGTTATCTGATTGTTCAAATGGTCATGTACTCAGCACACTCTGATTTCTTAGATCAGAGTAAGGTCTAGAAATTTAAGAAATCTGATAGAGAGCTGGATTTTAGCTCAGTAATCAGATTTCTCAGTGCATGTAAACTCTTACTCTGATTTCTTTCGATTTCTCAGTCTGCGCATATGCGAAAATGGGCGGCGGTACCGGAAATAAAAGAGCAGAGTTGTCGTAAGATGCAGCGAAACACTTTTGGCGCGACGCTGTAACCGACTACATGCTTGACAAAATGAAGGATTTAAATATTCTTCATCTTTAAAATGATGTATGTTTATATTTTCAGGTAAAGCAGTGCGATGTTTTTTTAAAAGTTTGAGTTTTACATTACGTTTACGTCACGTCTTCTTCTGTGAGTTTATTGGCTGGTTGCAAAGCAGAAATCTCATTACTGTCTGACTCATGCAGACCTGGAGTTTCCCCATTATGTGATTACTCAATTACATGTAAAAGCGTTGATCCGATTACTGACAAAATCTGATTTTCTGCAGTTGTCAGATTATTGGGTGCATGTAAATGCACTCAATGAACAAATCATTTTGTTTTCATTTTTCATTATGTAGAAAGTTCAGATTGAAAACTTCCAATCCAAAGCACATTTGTGTTTGAAAATCTGATTGGAAAAAAGTCAGAAGTGCAGATTTGAACCTGTCAATACAGATACAGAGTGTAAATGTAACTCCTATAAAACTAATCGTGTAGTTGTGTAATTACAACTAAAGATTGGCACAAATGGACAGTAATAACTTCTTAGGGCTTCTAAGGAATACAGTGCTCCTGACAGAGTGAATGAAATCTGTTTGTCAGCTCTTACAGTTCTTATTGATTCTGTGTTGTAAATGTTAATTTGTAAATGTCAAAGTATAAATTAATTAAAGACAGACCTAATTAATCTAATCCTGCTTCAAGAAATCAATACTTACCGATATCAGTATGTTTTTGATACATTAGAATGGTTTTGTTGTGTGATTATTTTATAATATAATACATTTTTTTTTAGGTTATTGTATTATTGCAGTGTATGAGATGCTTCTGCGCTAGCCATTTTGTGGGCGGAGTCAGTAGACTAAATCAATAGTACAGTGTGAAGTGTTTTTTAATTGGAACAGTTGCAGCATTTGTTTGTACCTATGTGCATTCAAAATAAGTACATCCACCTTTATACTGCAGAAATTATTATTAGTATAAAAGGTGTTTGATGGGGTTGAGGTCAGGGTTCTGCGAGGGCCAGTCAAGTTCTTCCACACCAAACTCACCCAGTCATGCCTTTATGGAGGTTGCTTTGTGCCCTGGGGCTCAGTCATGCTGGAACAGAAAAGGTTCTTCTCCAAACTGTTCCCACAAAGTTGGAAGCATAGAATTGTCTGAAATGTCTTGGTCTGCTGAAGCATTAAGATTTCCCTTCACTGGAACTAAGGGTTCTAGGCCAACCCCTGAAAACAACCCCGTATCATTATCCCTCCTCCACCAAACTTTACAGCTGGCACAATGCAGTCAGGCAGGTAACGTTCTCCTGGCATTCACCAAACCCAGACTTGTCCATCAGACTGACAGATAGATCAGTGTGATTTGTCACTCCACATACGTTTCCATGGCTCCAGAGTCCAGTGGCAGCGTGCTTTACACATGTTACTGTCCAGTTCGAAGAAAAATTATTGTCTGAGTCTTTGTGTTTTTGTGTCAACGTCAGCACAACAGCACCACCCGGCGCAGTGAAGGGTTAGGTGCCTTGCCCAAATGCACAACCAGGTATGCCTGGTCAGCCGTGTGATTTGAACCCACAGCCTTGACTGCGGGTTAGAGGTGATGATTCACCACTTTTGCTGTAAGGGCTACCGATCACCCCCATGTTTTGTATCTTGAGCTGCAAACACGAACCACAAACACCAGCTACCTCCTGGTTGGGGAGACATATTGCATTGGCCAAATTCATTTGCATAAAGTTCTGCATTGCTTAGCTTTTTTGTCAGATGGAACCGACACTTTCCACAGAAAACGTGTGGGACATGTTGCAGTTTGTTGACATGCTGGAGCAGTGGAGCAGTGTAAATGCAGCATTTTCATGAGAACATGTTAGTTTGTCAGAGAAATATATCTATTAAATATATATTTTTCATATATTCAACAATTATTCTAATACTGGCAACTCAAGCGATTAACCGAGCACTTGAGTACCTGTGCACAGCCCTTGTCTGCATGCAGGAATGCACTTTAGGGGGCATAACTAATCCCTTCCTATGATGCTGAGAAAGAAAAGCAGCAACTGATTCCTGTTTTGTACAGTGTTTCTGCTCCCACACCGCAGTTTTCCACTCAGTAAACATGACTGTGAGTGAGCCCCTGAAGTCTCCCCTAGGAAGAGGCACTACTGAGAACACTGAAAGGTCAGGGCCAGTGTGCACGACCCACGACGCTGGCCATTTGGAGCGCTGACATTTGAGTCATGTTAAACTTGTTGGACCTGTCAAGCTTATGCAGAGCCCCTTCTGTTTAGGAACAAGCAACGTGGCAAGCGAATGTCATCCTCACAGGACTGCACACGCACGCACACATGACTTAACACTTAACCACTGCTGTGCCAAGAACACCCACTACCATGGCAGGACTCCATTACCCATAATTCTCCTGGGTGACCAACTAACAGTCCTAGTTGTTGGACAACATTAAAAAAAGGAGGTTGCAGATTGACTATGAAGTATTGTAATGCTTGGTAACTTCATCTTCACCTGGGAGAGTAGAGAATTTGCTAATTTGTTGTTAGCTTTAGCTGTGAGTGTCACCAAAGACAGATCAGAGCCCCCTTAAGTAGCATTAGGCCCTGTTGGTACCAATCTTTAGCAGTGACTAAAAACTATAAACTGGAACCTTCAGTATTAAAACAGTCGACTGTGGAAAAAGCTCCAGTTTTCTAGTGCCTTTGGAACTTTTACGCAACCTTTATGGTTCTAGTTTTAGTTCTTTTTCCACTTGTTTAAGAGAATAATAATGACTCTAAAACATATAATTTAATTAGCTACCTAGCTTGCTACTTAGCTGAAAGTCAGCGAGAATCGGAAATCAGAGTGCATTTTTCTTCCTTAACAGGACGTATTTTTAACCGAAATAGGCTACTCAGGTGAGAAATAATTGTGGGCAGGATATGATTTTATTCTTCAGGATTTCACTTGATCATGAAAAGCTGGCATTTCAGAACAAACATGGAGTCAGACAGTGGAATCTGTCTGTTTTAAAAAAAAGCCAATGGAAAATAACCATATATTTAAATGAAGTACTACAATAGTCTGATGTGTATTTTCTGTAGTTTTGAAAGATAATTTATTAATTGTTGAAAGCTTTTACTTTTTAAGACATAGATGAGGCAGAGTTAGCAGGCTAGTTGTTTAGCATGTGTGTCGCTCTCACTTTTCTTACACTTTCACTGCAAAATCAAGAAAAAAGGAGATCAGTTGATCACCTAACGTTTGAGCAGGAGATGGACTGCGTGTGAATGCTGGTCACTCCATCATCAGCTGACTCGCCTCACAGTCCCTCAGAAAACAGCACAAATACTGGCAGATATCTGAGCTACCCCAGTCCTGTTAACATTAACACAGGTGTTGGGACTCAAATACCTCATACATGATTATTTTACAACCTGTACAAATGAATGTGAGAGAGTTAAGTGAGGAGAAGAAAGGAGGTTGTCTGCCAACATACATGTCCGTGCAGTCAGGAGCAGAAGTGATGCTGGGTGTTTTCGCTTTCTAATGATATGACACAGTGGATTTTGCTTAATGTGGCTATGGACGTAGACTAACAAGGTAAAAAAGGTCCATTTTTTATTCAAGCAATGATTCAGTTTTTCTTTTGAGGCTTCTTTTGACAGTTATGGCCAAAAATACTCATTCCATTGAGGCTAGCATAAATGCTAATAACATAAGCATTACATTTCGTTCTAGTCTATATAGTGACACATTTATTAGGCATCTAATAGTGCTATAGTTTATAGTGCGCTTAGTGACTTATCTTCAGCTGCAAGTGTTACCAAAGACAGAGGAGAACATCCTCAACCATTAGGTGCTGTCGGTACCAATCTTTGGCAGATATCAAAACCATAAAACTGGGTCCTTCGGTTCTAGACTCATGACCAATAGAAAAAAAAGGTTTCTGTTTTCTAGTTTCAAAGGTTCTGGTCCTGGATAAAACTCTTTGTGTTTGAAGTAGAGATTTGAGCTCTTGTGCAGGTTGTTAGGATCAAAATACCATAGCTGGTAATTACTAGGTTTTAAAGATCCTTGTGGATAAACTGTAACAATGATGACCCTCTGGCCATGTGTCCTCAGGTATCCAGCAGACCATTGAGCAGGAAGAGGGTCAGAACAGGTCTTCGGCTGACCTGAGGATACGGAAGACACAGGTAAGAGCGCTCATACCAATCTGCCCTGTAGAGCTGAACAATTTGAGGAAAATGTAATTGTGATTTTTCTGACCAATCTTGTAATTGTGAAGGTTAAATATGTACAGCTACACTACGTGAGACTTTCGTAAGATCATGTAAGGAGTGGCAGTACTGAGTCAGGAGAAATAATCTACACAGTAGAATAAGGTTTGCGCTGCTGCAAATTGCCCTGTAAAGCCTGGAATAATAATTTTAAAGTCCGAGGTGTTGTGTTCGCATGTTGCATGCAATTACACATTTCCACCAGAGAGGTCTCCAAATCCTCAAAACATGGCTTGTGAAACAATGATTTATCAAAACAATGCTAAAACAATATATTTTATCAAATCAAATAACTGTTTATCACTTATATTTTCAATTTGTGTGCATTTTATTGACTAATTCACTTGCATTTTTAATCCACCTCATTTTCATCATTTAATTTGTTGAGATCAGTTCTGATTGTTTTTTTTTTTCATGTACACAGCACATGGGTGTTTGGTTGCTTCTGATCAGAACGAGTAAAAGCAATTAATTTCCTCCACTGATCTACAGCCTGTTCTGATTATGACTGCCTAGCGATCAGATTGCTGCCTAGCGAGCCCAGCATTAGCTTCAGGTTGCTAGGAAGTTGCTAGGGTTCCACTGTAATGCCTAGAAGTGGATAAATTACTTAGAGCTAATAATGTGGACACAGGCTTGGTGAGTTTATATCTGTGTTAGTGGAAACTCACCTGTCTGACTCACACTCTCTCTATGTCCACTCTTTTTGCAGCATTCCACTCTGTCCCGTAAGTTTGTGGAGGTAATGTCGGAGTACAATGCCACGCAGTCAAGCTACAGGGAGCGCTGCAAGGGCCGAATCCAGAGACAACTGGAGATCAGTGAGTGTATACGTGCATGTACACAAAGAATAATGGATTTGTGCAAATATACTGAAAAAAAATGCTGCATTGACTTGATTTGATTAATCATTTCCACATGAAATAAGGCAACATATTAAATGTTGAAACTGGGTAATTTTGTTGCTTTTTTAAAAATATATGCCCTTTTTGAATTTGATAAACTTTCAAAAATGTTGGGACAAGGGCAACAAAAGACTCGTGAAGATGTGTAATGCTAAAAAAACAGCCAGTGGAACATCTCACAGCTAATTAGGTACTTTGGAAACAGGTCAGTGACATTTTTGGGTATAAAAACAGCATCCCAGAGAGTCTTCCATAAGTAAAGATGGGGAGGGGTTCACCACTCTGTGAAAAACTGAGCAGGCAAACAGTGCAGCAGTTCAAGCATAGCATTTCTCAATGTAGAAAATGTAGCAAAGAACAAGGGGATTTAATCATCTACAGTACATTATATCATTAAAAGATTGTGAGAATCCAGAGAAATCTCTGTATGCAAGGGACAAGGCCGAAATGTTGAGCAGTTGACATCCTATCTCAAGCAAAAGTGGGAAAACTTCATTTTCAAATCTACTACAATCGGTCTCCTCCGTTCCCGAACGCTTGCAGAGTATTGTTAAAAAGAAGAGGTGATGCAGCACAGTGGTAGACATGCCCCCGTCCCAACTTTTCTGAAACTTGTTGCTGGCATCAAATTCAAAAAAGTCATATATTTTTCCAAAACCTAATGAAATGATTTAATGAAACTGCTTGTATACAAAAAAAGCCACATATTTCTACAGACAAATATTCAGAAAAGACGAGGAAAAGAAATAAAATATAATGCTCTCGAATTAGTTAGGCTAGAACATAGCCGTGTGTGACTCTGGGCTCTGGACTCTGAACTCTGAATGTTGTGTGACCACAGAGCTGCTCTTGGCTGGATAGTTTTGGGTGGACAGACCATTCTAAACCTAGCAGTCACGCCTCAGCAACACCACTATGTCTGATACGCTCATACCAGCACCACACACACACAACCATGCCAGTGTCACTGCTGTGCTGAAAATGGACCACCATTCACATTAGATGTGGTCAGCAGTGATAGTATGGTCAGAAACTGACCAATGATGAATGTTGTAGACAGAGACTGATAAACTGTGCAGCAACAGATGGACTATAGTCTGTAATTGCACACATATTTAGTGGCCCTATAAGGTAGGTGGAGCTCATAAAGTGCCCAGTGTTTCTAATAAAATGGAGTACACAATGAAAAAAATGTAAAAATAAAATAGGGTATTATTTACAATTTCAGATTCCTTGAGGTATGTGGTCATGCTTTCTTGTGACCACATACCTGAAGCAATCTGAAATCATGTCCAGGTGCGTTGATTTGTCTTGTCAGGTATTATGCGGTGTCTATGGGGTCTCTATATGGGGGTGCAGTGGATATATTGCCAGGCTGTCTCTACCTGGCTGGCAGGCTTCAGTGTGCCAGCTGCCCCATGCATCCTGGGCGAGGGGTTTCAGGCTCATCCGCCTGCCATCTGTGCTTTTCTGGTCACTAGGGGGCTGTATTAAATGTGCCCTGCCTGTGCCACCAAACGCTCGACTCTCTGACAGTGCTGGCATTGCTGCAGCAACTTTTACTTAAAGATTGTGTCTGAGGATGTTCTGGGTGATGGGAATGATGTTTTTTGGTAGAGCTATGCTGTTACTGTGATCAGACGTTGAATGGCAAGTCTGATTTTGTATCCCTTACTTTGTTATTTATTCAAATATTTATTCAATTTAATTTTATAAAAAAACCTCCTTAATGAATCAGCATACTTTCCTACTTCCCACCATAAGCAACCAAGCCTGATGGATCTATTTATATGCATATTTTTCTTATTTTTTTTTAGGTATTTTCAGTTTATTTTTATTTAATAGAATCAGCACACGTGTTGCATTTAAACTCTGCAGGTATTTTTAACAATACTCTCATTTCACTGTTAAGTTGTAGTTGGAAATATGAGGTTAAACTGTTGTCCAATCAGATTTCTCTGTTGTATTTAGGTAGATACTGCCAAGTGAGCTCTCTCATTGGTTAGGATTTCAGGAGCTGAACTGAAGGCCTAACAGATTAACCACTAGTATAATTAGGAAGTGACCATGGAATCAACCAATCGCATTTTGATTTTCAGTTGGTGGGACCAGTGTAGTGATAGAAAAGCATAGCACAAGTCCTTCTAGAAGTTCAATACATGTCACAAGTGAATGAGCCACAGTTTAACCGTGTCTCGGTGGTTTATAACCACTGTTTATATTCAGTGGTATTTTATAGATAAAGTGGATGAAGTGCCTAATTAATGCCTATAGATGGCAGTGGCTATGAAAAGCTAGCAAATCTTTTAAAGCTTCTTCTATAACTATAACGTCTATAGCTCCTCCGGCTCAGATTCTCTTATGAACTCCATTTCCCAGAACTTCCTGGGAGATAATGTGAGTGTGGCTCCACCACCATCCACCAATCGGCGCTCATCCTCACCTGAATATAGATCTGTTTCACCTGTTCTCTGTATCATGTGATTATACCTCATATCGTTTTTTGCAGTGTAGGTTTGTGTCCAAGAATCCACTTTGTATGAGATTTTAGCATCCAGCATTGAATGCCCACCACATTTGGGAGGTCAGGGTCAGGGTGGTACTCCTGGCAGCCCTTTGTGCAGTGAAAGCCAAGTTATACACACATACTCATGCACACACGGTGGACTCAGGTTGAAAGGTTAGAGTCACTGGCCAGTGGGTCTAAATGCTATTCAGTTGTACAGTAGGGAAGAGATGCAAATACACAAGTAGCGACATACAGCTATACAGCTATAAGTATGCAGTAGAATCACCTCAAAATACATTCTGTACCCCTTATTTATTCATTTCCATTCAAAACAGCTGTTCAGTACAAGTTAATAAGTAACTGTCTTTTTAAATACTTTTTTAGTCTTTTCAGGAGACTCACTTTCAGTTTCTCAAAGAAATCTCCAGACACACCATCAAAGTTCAGTCTTAGAAGCTGGTTGATCATTTTCTGAAGTAATCAAACCCATTCAGTGAAGTTGAGGTCTGGACTCTGGGGTGGTCAGTCCGTTTTTCAGCTTCTTTGTTTGATGTGTCCATCTCCTTTACTCAGTGAGGTTCTTCTTGACAGCTCCACATCCTTTCAGACCCATAGCGCTGAGTCGTCTTCTCACAGTGGAAGGATGGACAGAAACACCTGTGGATGTTTTCAGATCTGAAGCAGCTTGATTTTCTCCTCTCTCTCAAAGATGAAAGCTTTAAGTGCTGTTTATCAGATGGGGGCAGGTTTGGTGTCTACCAGCTCTTCCAGGTGGTTGTTAGGAGTCTCATTTTCTCCTTTCTTATACAAGTGGTAATATCTAGTCTCCTCAAAAATATCTCCTGAAAATCAATCTTGTGCTGAATGGCTGTTTCGACAGGAACATAAATAAAATGAAAGATGTTCTCTGACTTTTGCACAGTACTGAAATTTCAGATCTTAATATTTCTTAGTAAGAGATTTGCACTTCCATTCTAATCTGGTCTATTGTGGTGCGACATGCTGGTCTGCTGCTGCTGGAGCATGTGCCTCCTCCTGGTTCGATGTTAATTAAAGGCTCTCCATGTGGCTCTGCTTGACAGTTGACACGTGCTGGAGAGGACCACAGGCATTTCCACTGGTGTAACCGCTTTAAAAACGCTCTGCTTTTTACACCAACTCACACATCGCGGAGCCCTGCTGAATATGCAACCGAAATTGGTAGACCTGTCAAAGACTAGAAGATATTTGATTATGGCTAAATTTTAAAGAATAAAGCTTAGAAACTAGACATTTTGGTTCGTTCTGAACAGGATCAACACTGTTTTGTTGTGTCTCCTGTATTTCACACCTTCTCCCCTATTACTACAGTTAGAATTAAAAATACAGTTAATAGCACTTTTTTCTTAATAAGGCGTATTCAGTTATATCTTCAACTGCAACAATATTATATTGTTAGGAATATTTTTGCTTGGTTAACCACATTTTTTTATTCTGGAAGTTGAAAGTGATTTTGTTTCTGCATTCAGTTACATTCTGTGAAAAATATTGCTTCAGATTTTCTTTACAGTGGTTGTGATGGGAACCAGGGGTCTGAATGTCTACAACGAAAATGTAACCATTTTATTTACTGTCCAAAATGACCAGTATACCTACTCGTGCCTTTTGAGCTGTTGTATGGAATGTTGATGATGGTAAAATAGTGAAAAATCTGGAAAAATACGTTTTCTTTCGGGACTCTTTTGTCTTACAGCGCCTACATGTACTCCTCCGCAATACGTGTATTTTAAAAAATATGTTTTAGGCCAAAATCTTATTTTAAAACTACCACAAAACAATGTCTCAGGCAGTGTATTCATGACCAGTTCATGTAATAACTTTCTGTAAGGGAGCTTTTAGTCTGGTTTCTATCACCACCACCGTGAACAATTCTGAAAGCTTCTCTAGAATGGAGCGTTTTCAGACACAAAGACGCACAATTAAATAAAAGGACTTTAGCTAGACAAGGCCCTGTCCCGAACCGTTTTGACAAGGTCAGTTGCTACAAACCAAGTGACCACAGTATCAGCCTTTGCTTGATTCAGTCTGGCAGTGGCCTGCTCTGTTACCAGGACATCAATTAAATAGGGCAAAGACTTTGTTGATATCTTAATGAGTTAACTGTGCAGAAAAATCAACTCGAAAAATTTCAGATTTCTAAGCTGCTTTGAAGCAGAGCACTCAGACTAGGATGAATGGCTACTATTTAATCTGTTGTCTGGGCTTTATCAGGACAGGCGACGGCGTCATCAGCACGGCACATCTTGATATCTCGTCGAATTCAGCCGAAACGTTGGAAGAAACAAAAGCGCACTGGCTTTGATTTTCACTCTATGAATAAAAAGACCCCGCTGGCGTATAAATGATAATAAAACCAGTTTACATTCCG